CAAGCCGTCATGCTCAACGCTAAATAACTTAAGGGAACAAATGTCTCCATTCAAAATGATTATTCGCAAGAAACACTAAGAAAAAGACGATCGCTTTGGCAGAGTGCCAAATCTGGAAAAGACAAGGGGAAGAAGGTTACGCTTGTGCACGAAAAACTTCACATTGACAAAAAGTTGTACGCATGGAACGATTCCACAAACCGGCGCGTTCCTGTCGAAGCAAATGAATTGCCGGCACCAGCAAACATATAGCCACTCCGGCGCCCTGTTGATGAGCTGATTGTCATTTCGTTCAATGCAAGAAGAATTGTAAATAAAATTGACAGTTTAGAACTGCTTCTTTTGAATTATGACCCCCATCTAGTTGTAATCACTGAAACCTGGATGGGTGATAGGATTAGTGACGGCGAAGTTGGTGCACGTGGCTATCAGATATTTCGGTGTGATCGCGGCTCCCGTGGTGGGGGCGTTGCCGTTATAGCTAAAACCAATATCAAGATCTCGGTTTTGCCTGGGATCTCTAATCATGAAAGCTTGTTTTTAAACGTATCGTTTTGTGACTTAAAATTCTTGCTTTGTGCTGCTTATCGATCGCCTGATGCAACCGACTCGTTTCTTTGCAAATTGTACGATTATCTTTTGCCCTACCGTGGTCGCCCGGTTATTGTAACAGGTGATTTTAATCTGCCGAGTTTTGACTGGAATCGGCCTACTTATGGAGAGAGTGACCCATGTGATACTTTCTTAGACATGATGTTGGCTATAAGTCTAAAACAGTTAGTTTTGGAACCTACCCGTCTTGACGCCATTCTAGATTTATTTTTGTTAGCGACGCATTTTCCAGTGGTGCAGTAAATGTAGATCCTGGTATTTCCGACCACCGGCTCTTATCGCTTTATTGTTCTTCTACTTGGTTTGTCAGTGTTGAAGACCAACCGGTCAACCATGTCAAAAATTTTGACCGTGCCGATGACGCTTCTATTATTGAATACTTAGAGTTAAAATTTGATATCCAAACTAGCAATGATGTGCACACGTTGTGGACACACTTCAAGGAAACAATAAAATACTGCATCGAGCATTTTGTACCCTTAAGGAAGGTTAGAAACAAGCGTTACAATGAATGGATTACCCGAGATATCATTCAGACAAAGCGTAAGATTAAACGTCTTAGGAGAAAGAGAAGTCTAGGGGAGCAACATTTACAAAGCCTGAAGCAGTCTTTGGAATGTAAGGTTAAATCAGCGAAAGCTCATTATTTTACCGTAACACTTCCGGAGTTAATTAAAAATGACCCCTCTAAGTTTTGGCGGTGTTTGCGTGAACGGAAAAATATTCTGAAATAGCTGTAAATGGTAAAATTGTAAGAGATGACAAAGAAATAGCTCAATCATTCAATCATTACTTTCAATCAGTCTTTTCACCAGGCAGATCAGTTCCTAAACGCCCAACGGATTATTCAAATATACCTGTTATTTCGGATCTCGGAATACTGTTAATATTACGAAAACTTGATCCTAGAAAAAGTTCCAGCCCCGATGATCTTCCTAATGGACTCTTGAAACGGTATGCTGATCAGCTATCTACCTTTTTAACTAACATTTTTCAGATCTCTCTCACATCAGGTGAAGTCCCGTATGATTTTTTGGTTGCTAGGGTCAAACCACTGTTTAAAACGAGAGAGAAACTTTCAATTTCTAACTACAGACCCATTTCCATCACAAGTAGCTGTTGTAAAAAGTTGGAGCATGTTATTGTAGAATTCATTCATGAATTTCTGGCTGAAAGGAACATTTTGTCGCCCTATCAACACAGTTTTAGAAAAAAATATGTCCACTGTCACGCAATTGGTCACTACTGTTCATCACTTCTCTGCGGTATTGGACGAGTCTGGACAAGTTCATGTGAGTTTCCTCGACTTTAGCAAGGCCTTTGACAAAGTGCCACACGATAAGCTTTTGTATAAACTTGAACACATTGGCTTTCCGATTGCCTTTTGAACTGGATAAGAGCTTATTTAAATAACAGAAAACAGTATTTTGATATTATTGTTGTTTCTCTAATTTTCTTGCTGTTACCTCTGGGGTACCCCAGGGCAGCGTGCTGGGACCGCTGTTGTTTCTTCTTTATATAAATGATTTAGCCGACGTAGTTCCCGAAACCGTCTTCATCAGGCTGTTTGCCGATGATTGTGTTGTCTTTAGAGAAATTCGCTCACCTGATGACTGTGAAGTTTTGCAGGAATCGCTGGTTGCAATAGAGAGTTGGTGTGAGCAGTGGGGAATGATGTTGAATGCCGGAAAATGTGCATTTCTACGAACAATGCGCAAAAAACATTTCTTCAACTTCCAGTACTTCTTGCAGAACACTTGTATTGCAGATGTTGGGGAGTACAAGTACTTGGGCCTCACTTTGAACTCTAATTTATCTTGGTCTGCCCACGTAAAACGTATTTGTTCTGCTGCATTTACTAAGTTGTGTTTTTTGAGACGAAAATTAAGACATTCTCCAAGTCACGTTAAGCTATTAGCCTATGAAACTTTTGTTAAAGCTAAACTTGAATATGCTTCCGTGATATGAGATCCGCACTTGAAAAAAAGATATCTACATGCTTGAGCTCGTTCAGAGAAAAGCGGTGCGTTTTATTTTTAACAAATATGGGCGTTACGATTCTCCGTCGAAGCTCATGACTGATAATGGCATTCAAACCCTAGCAGTTCGTAGACGCTTGGCCCGTTTATTCTTCCTCAACAATGTTGCTACTTCTAAGGTGAAAATAACTCCGTCAACTATGATTAAACCGCTAAGCACAATAAGGACCCGTCACATGCATGCTCATTCCTTTCAGCCTATCTTCGCCAAAACTAATCAGTTTAAGCACAGCTTCTTCCCACGTACAATTTCCGAATGAAATGCGGTCCCGGAAGCAGTGATACAAGCCAAAAATTTTTCCCAAGCGCTCCAGGAAAGCATCTGTCGCTAAGTATATGCATTGTATGGTGTGCTTAAGCCTTGACCAATCTGCATTGTACTCCTTTTTATTGTTATTATTTTTATTCTTTGTTTGTATGTGTAACAGTGTTATGTGTATTGCCAATTGACCCTCCTGCTTGGGCCACAAACTGGCCTGCAGTATTCGCAATACATAATAAATAAGTAAATAAAATATTACATCGAGTTCACGTCTATTCGTTAAGCTGTTTTGCCAAAACTCGTTTAAATCGACTGCAAAACAACAGCGAAACTAAGTAGACGCACCGTCAAGCTCCTCTGCCTTAACTTCACAATAAAAGGAGAGGTGCGTTGGGGGCAGACCACTTGGACAAACACACCTGGCATCGCAGAAGACAAAACTTCAAGTGTTTATCACTTAATACTGTAGTGTTGTTCCCATGAAATGTTACTGCGTACTTTGGCAAAACAAAACTGTTTGTTTTAAAGCATTGTCAAATACAGTTCGTCATATGTTGACGCGAAATCTGGAAAGAAAAATGGCAGAACAATGTATACCCTGGTTGTTAAATTTGTCCAAGTTTCCCTTCTACATCGTGGTCACGAAAACATTTTGCAACAATATTTCCGTACAAAAAAATGAAACAATATTGAAATAAATATACCTTAATATAGCACCTTGACTTGGGTGAGTTGGTACGTAAATGGATAGGCTTCAGCATGATTTAGACGAAGACCATAGGAGACACACAAAACATGGACCAGCAATGACTTACAATGGAGTTCATTTGCACTAGAACAAGCCTTTTTATGTGACATAACCTGCCTGTATAACCTATACGCAGAAGAGCAAGATTGAAGATGATATGAACAGAACCCGAGATCTATAAGAAAAAAAAATGCAAATGCTTACAGTGGGACCAAGTATCAAAGATATCGATGGAGGCGGAAATGTTGTAGGCCCGTGTGCTCAGATTTGGGTGCACGTTAAAGAACCCCAGGTGGACTAAATTTCCGGAGCCCTCCACTACGGCGTCTCTCATAATCATATAGTGGTTTTGGGACGTTAAACCCCACATATCAATCAAGTATCAAAGATAATGCACATCTATATCACACAAGGCAAACTGAACTTTAAAACTAAGACGGCACATGATTGATACTCCTAGAACGACACCTTCAAAATAAAAGCTGACCGAGAGAAGGGCGAGAAATGTTTAACTTGTCCTGGTGATAAGTAAAGTGTATATCAAAAGAAGAAGCGATCAAAAACATGGAGAGCATGTAGGGAGGAATCAACAATCATAATAACCTAGCGAACAGATATTGGGGTCACTTACTAAAACAACACTTTCTTACGCTCCCAGCAGACCCGCGCTATACATAACCAAAAGCAAAGAAAGTAAGTTGTAAGTCGGTGCTCATTTGTGTTCTGTGTGTCTCCTATGGTCTTCGTCTAAATCGTGTTAAAGCATCCAGTACCTTCATAGGACTTGGTTTTACATTCGGCGAATTTCAAGAACGTAATCCATTCGACGCATATCCGAAGCCTGTAGTTTCCATTATTTCCGTGGGGTACAAGCGCCGCTGAAAGAGCCCGCATAGACACTAGCGCCACAATTCCCTCTGGGAAATCTGGTGCTAGTATGAAACTCTAAGCTTCCAATAATGATAATTTGGGTCGCAGACACACTTATCTAGAAATATATAACAACGGCGGTCATTTTTGAGCCGGGCTGCCAGCGATAGGTTCCGCGGTTTGCTGGTTCGAGGTCTCTATGATACAGCCTAGATTGAAGCGGTAGAAACACCTTGACAATCACCTATCAGTGAAAACGGCCTCAAAGGCTGCTCGAAACACATGGTCTATACCTTTAGCTCGAACCTGCCCCATGTGCCCTGAAAAAAGAGGAAGCTCTAAATGTGACAAGTACTAGAAGAAGACCAGACTTTCAGTGTTCATGAATAGGCAAGCCGCCCAACAGTCTTCTGCTCTGCTTCCCTATGACACCGTAGAACGAGTGATTGGGTGCATGAGTTCAACGTACCTGCACGAGGGCGACGAGTACGTATAGAAATCCAAAGAGTGGCGTGACATTGAACGAGCCGTATCGCAGCAGGTCGGTGGCGGTGAGGAAGATGAGCTGTCCCGGAATGACCACCAGCAGCAGAATGCGCGCCACACGGCCAACCTCGGAAGAACCGGCGAACAACACCAACGGGTTTGCACACCGGGTCGCATCCTCGGGTGGCAGCACTCCCATTTCGACGCGCCGGCTCAGGAACGTGGACAGTCGGCAACAGTAAATGGCCGCCAGGTTACCGCCCACGGCTGCACACACGTCACAATTGGCCCACTAAAGTTCAGAGGATGATGGTGGGTAAACAAATCACTTAGTAGTCTACCTGGTTGTGCATGACATGGAAGATAACTCGACCGCCCCACTTGCCTGTCCATGCACCAGTGTTTTTGTGCGCTCATAGCTGTTTTGTCAATAAGACTGCAGCAAAGGATCGCGAGTACAGCCATCTCTTAATGCGCGGCCTGGTATAGTAATTACTGGGACCATTGTAACAATTAGCAGGCACATCGTGTTTGTCTGTATCTGTCATGGTCACGTAGCATGTCTCATTCACTAATGAACTTGGTGGCTGCCATAACAGACGATGCTTGCATCCCGGCACAAAGCTAGGCACCTTTATCTTCATCATCAGCCTAACTATGCTCACTGCAGGATAAAGGCCCCTCCAGTGTACCACCAGTCAACTGGGACCTGTGCTTGATGCTGCCACTTTATACCCCCAAACTTCCTAATCTCATCTACCCACCTAATTTTATGTCTCCTCCTTACCTACTTGCCTTCTCTAGGAATATAGCCGGTGACCCTTCATGACCAGCGATTATCTTGCCTTCACGCTATGTGCCCTGCCCGTGACCACTTCTTGATTTCAACTACGATGTCGTTAACACCCGCTTGTTCCCTGATACACTCTATTCTCTTCTTGTACCTTAGGGTTACACCAGTCATTTTCCTTTCCATCGCTCGCTGCGTCGTCGTCAATTTAAGATGAACCCTATTTGTAAGCCTGCAGGCATCTGCTCCGTAGGTAACTACTTGCAGAACGCACCTGCTATATACCTTCCTCTTGAGGGTTGGTGGCAATCGTACAGTCATGATTTTGGAATGCTTACCGATTCTTATTCTCCTAGTTACTTCATCGTCGTGGTTCAGCTCCGTGGTTACTAGCTGTCCTAAGTGAATGTACTCTTTTACAACTTCAAGTGTACTGCTACCCATCTCAAAGCGCTGTTCTTTTCTGAGGTTGTTGTACACTGCTTTCGTTTTATTAGATGTATTTTAATACCTACATTTCTGCTCTCCTTTTATAATTAAGTAGCCATGAATTACAACTCATTTTCTGAGTTACTCAGCATTGCTTTGTCGTCCGCAAAGCGCAGGTTACTAGGGTACTCTCTATTCACTCGTATTCCTAACTCTTCTCATTCCCGCTCTTTAAAATCCTCCAGTATACAAACACGTGGTAAACAGCATTGGGGATAACGTAGGCCCTTGACTTAGAGCCTTCTTTATTGGTATTCTGCGCTTGAACATTTTGTTTATTACATTTTAATGTCTTAAATCTGTTAGCAATTACCTTTGTAAATAACTTGTATACGGCGGAGAGGAAGGTGAACGGCCTGTAATTTTTCAAGTCCTTGTCGTCCCCTTTCTTATGCATTAACATGACGTTTGCCTCTTGCAATATTCTGGTACCATCCTCATCAAGAGACAATTCGTAAACAGGGTGGCCAGTTTTTCTAACGCTATCTGTCCTCCGTCTTTCATCAGATCTGATATGGTAACTTATCCTAGCCAGCAGCTTTGCCTTTTTGCATTCCCCGTCAAGGCTTTCCTGGCTTCAATTATTACTGATGGGATGTCATCTGAGGTGCTGCTCGTTCTTACATTATAATCGTGTTTGTCCTGCTACTATGCACAACACTGTAAAACTCCTCTGTTATTTAAACTAATCTATTCATATTGGTATTGCTTTGCCTTTCTCGTTGTTTAGTTCATAAATTTGGTTTTTGCCTATCCCAAGTTTCTTCTTCACCGATCGGATGATTTCTTCGTTTTTGAGAAAATGTTCGATTCTTTATTTATCAGTTTATTTATTTATTTACTTATTTATTCATTTACAAGTACCTCACAGGCTCCTCGGGGAGCATTGAGTAAGGGAAGCATCACAAAAAGAAATGGAAAACAAGGCGATACATGAGTCTAAAAAGTGCTAAAGTAACGCACTTGCGCGACATCAAAACAAATTGAATTACATGGCAAAATAATACTAAGAATAACACCAACTAGTAACTAACAGCCTAATAATACGAAAACATTACTCAGGAAAAGTAAAAATAAGCCAAGAACTATTAACTAACAGAGAAATACCAAGAAAACAATACTCAGAAAGTAATGAAAAATAACACTCAATTTTGCCAAAAGAGCGGTACGTAGGTCGTGCAAAAAATGTACATCACTTGTGCACTTATTGAAACAAGAAAACAAAGTAGAAAGGAATTCATAGTACGAATCTTCGCACATACGACGCGATACGGCTCGATGCATAATGTTATGATTATAATGCGAGTATATTGTGATGATTACGTCGCATTATCGAGTATAATGCGATGTACACGTTATACTATTTTACATCGGATCTCTCACGCTGATCAGTCACATTCGAAAGCTCTGCCAGTTCTCTTTTGTCTGTTGTGTTTGAGGCTTTCATGGTTTGACGTTTCTTAATGAGGTTCTTATGTCTCCAGGGTCAGCTTGGTACTGTCCTGTCTAACTACCGTACCTGAGCCATAGATGTATCAGCCGTGCGGACAAGCGAAACCCGAGCTTTTCGCACCCCCCCCCCCCCTACCCGTAAAAAAATGGCAGCATATCCACGGAGTGAATGATGGAGAGTGGGGCGAAGCATTCGTCCGTCCATGCGTCCGTCTGTGTGACCGCCCATGCATCTGTTCGTGCGCCCGTCCCTGCCTTCGTTCATGCATCCGCCCCTGCGTCCGTTCATGCGTCCATCCATGCATCTGTCTGTGTGTCCGTTCGTCCATCTATTCAACACTCCAAGTCCCAACATCTCGCATCTTTTTATCATATATTCCCCATATAGAAGCACCGCCATTCAGTGGACATTCCAAGGATTCAACGAGAGGTGGCACACACACACTTTCTTACTGCTTGCGCTTCGGGTCTACTTCCCACCTTCAACCACCTTGAGTTCATGGTATGTACTAGTTAACTGTATTCATGACAATGCGGCCCAATGCTCGCTAAACCTTTCTAAAACCAAGGAGGTTACGCCCAGCGAGTATAACGTAGAAACCTTTTCGTGTCAGATAGTGCTCAATGTACATGCCAGTGGCTGTTAATGTGAAATGAGAGACAGGAGGATTCAGCTTTTAATTTCTCACGGCTTGCGCTTCGTATCTGCTCCCCCCCTTTAACCACCTCGAATTCATTCATGGTATATACTAGTTCATTGTATTCATGGCCCTGTGGCTCAACGCTCGCTAATCCTTTCTAAAACTAAGGAGGTTACACCCAGCGAGTATAATGTGGCAACCCTTTCTTGTCAGATAGTGCTCAATGTACATGCCAATGGCTGCTAATGGGGATTGCAGCGTGCGCGTTGACTTAAAGCCGAATTCTTCTGTCTCTCATTCCCCATTAGCATCCATTGGTATGTACACTGAGCACTATTTTTTATTGTTAAACAACGCACAAAAGAAATCTGTCACCGGCACCACCTTGGAGGTCAAATGTGATACCTATTTCGGGTATGTGCCACTGGTAGTTACGTACTACAAGGGACGCACAAGCGACGCCATAAGGAGCTTCGCCCTTAAATGTTGCGGGGCGGATCCCCCCGTTTTCGACAGTGGTCACTCTTGTCTGCACGCTGGGGAAATCAACAAGTAAGGAGAAGTTTTTTGTCACAACAGTAATCACTCGAATTTGTTGTTAAGGGAAATGAAACTGTTACGAGGCAATGTAACAAAATAGTGAAATTTTGCCAAAATTCTCGCTCTGATGATTTTCCTTGTAGGGTGTTCGTGGTACGGATCGCTTATGCGACGCTTTTGCGTCTTGTGCTGTAATATTGCAGAGCATGCAAGTGCTGAACAGGGGCCCTATAATATTACATCACTTTTTTATGTTCTTATCCTGCTGTCACTTGTTGATACAGTTACGGATGGGAACAAGCAAAATTTTTATGGACCGGTCAAACCATTCGCTGCTTCAGGAAAATAATTTGCTTTGAAAAGGATATATCATCACTGCTGCCCTGTCGAAGCTATTATGAGCCGATGAGCGTGACAAACCATTTTCGATGCTTAAGTTTTTCCGTACTGAAACGCTAAAAAGTGTTTGCGCTTTAGTTTCTGATAGACCTGATCAGCCTTGCTCATGGTAACTTGGAGCTATAGCGGCAGCTTGTAGAGTGACAACTAATAAAGCAGTGGACTAGAGATCAGTGGGAAGCTCAGCTTTCAAGATTGCCCCACAACTTGACCCACTGGACCACGGAGAAGGTGAAAAATCGTGGTTTTTAGCACTATCGAGGCTTAGTTAAGAGTCGGGCTAGTAGGTTTTCACTCAACCTAAATTGTCTTCTGCAGCTCAAAATAAATCTGGGACAGCAAAGAAGCACACACGTGCAGCCCTGCTTATTTCTCTCTATTCCTCGTTCTCTCAGCCTGTATATGCTCACAGACACTTAAATGCGCAAAAACTACTAAACACCGTTATTCTGTGAGTAGAAATATTTTATTATAGTCATAATTGATCTCGCCGGCTGCTATAAGTGGCTACCGCTTATGTGATTAGCAGCTAGCCGACTTGAATTACAATTAGAAGATGCTTTCCGGCTTTGTGACGTCGTGTAACAAGCAGGTGAATTTGGGGAAAACAAAAAGCTTAACATGCTGAAGAACCAATGGCAAACAATATGCCACATCGAAAATAGTTTACTCTCTTATTGTTACGTGGTCGTGCATAAGTGGACATTTTGCGATGGATTATTTTTGGGTCATTTGTTGTCTCGCGTGACAAGCTGGTACTCTGGGCATGACAGAGACTGTCATGACGGACAAAGACTTCTTTGCACACAAGAAGGCATTGACTGCCTTCTTGCGTGTCAGTTTCTGTCGTCCCTTATTCATATCTAGAGGAATTCGATACATTACCATTGTATAGTCACTGCAACATACTTTGCCAAGCACTTGCACATCCTGTGCGGTGTCTGGGTGTGCACTCA